TCCAGGCCACGGTCATGCCCCATGGCCTTACGTCAATGTCAAGCCAAGAACTAAGGTGCTTTTAGCAAAATTTTTCCATCAAAAAGGTGGTTCTTTTTAGTATTGATATTTTTATATTTCTTACAGTCCTTATCTAGGTGGTGGGAGGGACTAACATGGCCACCCGAGTAGTTATGATGGATTCTCTGCAGCCCGGGGCTGGAAAAGAGAGCACTGTTCCACTTGACGGAAATCCAGGGCAATGAAAGCACAATAAAGAGTCAAGACTGAGGGAATCGCACCTTCAAAGCAAGCAGTCACAAGGAATCATTCTGTCTATGCTAAGTGCCTGCTTTGTTCATTAAAAAAAAAGTCTAAAGTGAGAGAGATCTCAAAGTATACTCTGCCATGGAGCGTGCCTTTTTATGGATGTACACTAAACCTACTGCTTCTGAGGGTTCCCCCAGGGCTACCAGTATCTTAAATTCTAAGAAAGCCTGATCATCCGCATCTCCTTTGACACTTAGCCCCTTCATGCTCCCGGCTTCCCATTCACTCTCACTCTGCTGTTCCCTCAGCAAGTTCTCTTGGTATCAGCATGGGGTGGGAATGCCAGAAACCCAGATAGGTTCGTGCCTTTGAGTCGCAAACACAATCACTTCCTCACTAGGTTCATGCATCCACTTGTTGTGGGTAAGGAAATAGTGTATAAAAAAAGTAAAGTGTGAAAGTCAAGGCTACTGATTGAGTCAGAATCTTTACCTGACATGCAAGGTACATCAGTGACACCTAAGTTGGCCTGTGAGTGTCTGTGCATGCAAGTAATTCCAAAGGCTTTACTCTTTGAATCACGTGCCGGCTTCAGTTCACATCTCTGATTATTGAAGCATTTATGAAGGCCTGACTTCTTACCAGCTGGAAGTGCACTGAGCTCTGATGAAAGATCACACTTGTTAAAAGCCCATTTGATTCACAAAAGCGTGTGATAAAAATGTCTTTGTTTTTTTAAGGAACCAATCTGATGCCTCACCATCAGAAATATCCCGGCTATACTATAGTCCACCTGTTGACTTACATATTAAAAAGAGAAAATTGATGATACTTACAGGAGGCCCCAAGACAATTGGCTCTGCTTGCAAATACTGTCCCATGGACAATGGAGCATTGTGGTATAAAGCCCTTCGGGGTGATGGTGCTCGGATGGTGGTCAGATATCTTCTCTCTCTTCTCGGGGAGAGGTCCCTTCTGGCACCGATATCTTTCCCAGGGGAGAGCGGCCTCCTTGGGGACAAATGTCTCCTTGGGGACACATCTCTTTGTGACATCTCTCTTCGCAAGGCAGCTTCCTTTCTTGGTGAAAGATGCCTCATGGGTGACAGATCTCTCCGAGGTGACAAATGTCTTCTGGGTGAAAACTCTCCTTTGGGTATCAGATACCTCTTTGGTGAATTCTCTTGACAAGGGGAAGAATCATATCCCGGTGAAGAGTGGCGGCTTGAGGGGGAGAAGTCCCTTGGTGAGGAGCTGGGATCTGAAGAGAGCATGTAGTCTTCTTCCATGCAGCTAGGTATGTCTAACCTGTCTTTATCTGGCTCCGAGTCTGTACTTTTGCTCTGGAATAACCGTTGGTATTCTGTCATCTGGGTATCTTCACACGAGTCGCCTGGTGTCATAAGCTGGGTCACCTGAATGCTCGGCAGAGTAACCAAATAACTGATCAATGAGGAATGTCCCAGGGAACCATCTGAAGGAACTCCATGGGGCACAGCGCCAACATTCACAGGCAGCGAGGAGAATTGAGGAGGCTGGGGACTGGTGCTTCTTGATCTTGTTTTGGGTGTCAAATCTCCCTGGTCATCAAAATCATCGTCGTCGTCATCGTCATCATCATTATCATCTCCATCCTCACCATCTGATTCCTCAGCATCAGAGAACTGGTGATCGGTTGAAATACTAGACAAGCTACTCTTCTCAGTTGCTTTGTGCAAATCTTCCATATTTTCTGAAACAAGTGAGTAAAGATAGTGAACATCAAGATCCAAAAATGATGGTGAGAAGCCCATCTCTTTCCCAAAACTTGCCTAACCCTCCAGCTCCAGGGGAGTTTGACCAATGAACTTCTATCATACTCACTGGCGGCAATCTGTCTGTGTAACCTTACATTGGTCTTTATCTTTCTGACTGGTATCACTTTGAGTCGCAAACACAATCACTTCCTCACTAACCTGCACTAAAGATCCCACAATATGGCCCAATATCTCTGCCATAGAAAACCCTCAACAAATGGATCCACTGGATGTTGTTAATGATGACGGTAGAGGAAGGATAAGAGCAACAACTTGTCTTTACAGCTAGAGGTACAGAGTTATGTAGATATATAAAAAACGTTAACCAAGTCCCTGACCATGACTCAATTCTGACCTGTGTCACCCCCATATGTTGCAGACTAGAACTGCTCCATAGGGTTTTCTTGGCTATAATTTGTATGGAGGTTGATTGCTAGACCTTTGTTCCGTGGTGCTACTGGGTGGGTTTGAACCAGCAACCTTTAGGTTAGCAGTCCACCCTGAACCATACAGAAGTGGTCTCCATCGGGAGATTGGGTGGGTCCCTGGTTTTCTCTTCATGTCTGTGATGGATTATTTCCTACCAGCTTTCCTCTTAATAGGAATAATGAATTACACACTGAAATGATTTTTAAATTTCCCCCCAAATGTCAAAAAATTAAATCCCCTCAGAATGCAAGTGGAATTAGATTTTCTTCATGGGTGTAGATGAAAGGGATTTTTCTTTTCTTTTTTTTTAATTGTTTTGTTAGGGGCTCATACAACTCTTATCACAATCCATACATACATCAATTGTGTAAAGCGCATTTGTACATTCATTGCCCTCATCAATCTCAAAACATTGCCTCTCCACTTAAGCCCCCGGCATTAGGTCCTCATTTTCCCCTCCCTCCCCGGTCCCTGCTCCCTCATGAGCCCTTGATAATTTATAAATTATTATTTTGACATATCTTGCCCTGTCCGACGTCTCCCCTCACCCACTTTTCCATTGTCCATCCCCCAGGGAGGAGATCACATGTAGGTCCTTGTAATCGGTTCCCCCTTTTCAACCCACCCTCCCTGCACCCTCCCAGTATCGCCACTCACACCACTGGTCCTGAAGGGATCATCTGTCTTGGATTCCCTGTGTTTCCAGTTCCTATCTGTACCAGTGTACATCCTCTGGTCTAACCAGACTTGCAAGGTAGAATTCAGATCTTGATAGTTGGGGAGTGGGGGGTGGGGAGGAAACATTTAGGAACTAGAGAAAAGTTGTATTTTTCATTGTTGTTACATCGCACCCTGACTAGCTCATCTCCTCCCCGAGACCCCTCTGCAAGGGGATCTCCAGTGGCCTACAGATGGGCTTTGGGTCTCCACTCTGCACGCCCCCCCCCCTCATTGAAAGGGATTTTCCATAAGGCCAGTGTCTCCCTCATTCACAACTGAAGTCTATTTCTTTCTCCTCAATACATTTCTAGCACTTCAATGTGTCAGATTTATTTTCTATATTTTTAGTCTTTAATACAATCAAATCTTATTCATGTCAAAAAAGCCCCTCAGCCATAGAGCTCCAGTGTGGCCAGTGAAGAGGTCAGCCCCCTACACTCTGACATACCTGCTTCCTCTGCTTCTGCGTCATCCACCGATGTCATTGACACTCCCAGTTCCAGGCATTTTTTCATGTGTGCTTTAGATTTCATATGCTTTGTTAGGTTTCCTAGTAAACATAGCCAGAGAGAGAGAGACATAAATGTAATCATTTGTCCAACATGCAGTGCTGAAATGAACTTGGGATAACAGAGGCGAGGGTCACAACTTTTCTCGTGCAGGTTCCAAGCAGGTATGGGGATTACTGCTCCTTTGACCTGACAATGGACCATGTGATATCTTTGTCCTAACCATGGTAGTCTTCATATAAACAGGGTCGTATGTACTGGGTCACATACCACAGAGAAACTTCACAATGAATATTCTTATCAACACACCCACTCAGCCCCAAACCTCCAGGCGCCAGTCAGATATACATTAACCTTCATAGATCCTCATTGGCCAGGAAAAACAATATATGGTAACTAATGTGAGGACCAATATTGCAAATGAATTCAAAAATCATTGCAAATGCTCAGCTAACTACTTAGAGGGAGCATGATTTCAACACTTCACAATGATGTTCTAGTACAAAAATATTCCCTATTTGTTTGAAGACTCGCCATCCTCAGAAAATTGAAATGTTTTATTCAAATATTTGTGCCGATACTGATACACAGTTGTACACACATACACATAAATGTGCATGTGCTGATCTAATCACACTTGACTCAAGATCTACAAAGATCTTCTACGTCACAGAATGAATCAAAACAGATCCAAGAACTAATTCCACAGTTAAGCCCTTGTATCCACTCCAATATTACTGGTGTCCTTTGATGACGCTTTTCCAATGATTTAAATATTTAAAAGCAGGCTCTCTGAAATCTAGGGAAACATTTACTCTGCTCAAATAGCTTGTCGGGCTGCTTGGCTTAGAACCTGTTGCTGTTAGGACCTGCCATCACATCATTTCTGATTCACAGCCACTCTGTATAGCAGAACGAAATACTGTCTGGCTCTGTCAGCCTCACAATTGTTCTTCCATTAGAACCCACTATTGTAGCCCCTGTGTCAATCCATCTCAACCAAGGTCTTCCTCTTTTTAACTATGCCCCTAGCGCACCAAGCATGGTGCTCTTTTCCAGGGCTTGGACTCTCCTGAATTCTCACCATCCTCACTTCTGAGGAGCATTCTTTTTCCATGATAGATTTGTTTGTCCTTTTGGTAGTCCGAGTCTCTTAAAAATTCTTCACTAATGCCAACATTCACGTGCATCAATTCTCTTTTCATACTTGATATTCATTTCCCAGCTCTCATATGCATGTTGTTGTTGTGAGGTGCCATCAAGCTGGTTCTGACCCACAAAGAGCTTATGGACAACAGACCGAAGCATGACGCAGTCCTGCACCATCCTCACAGACATCTGAGGCCGTTGCAAATGCCATGTGTGGTAGATATGTAATCGTTTGTCAATCTGAGGATTGAGAGTGTAGGGATGGAGTCTAGATTGTCAATCAGATCATAGCCAATGAGGCCTGTGTGTGGGCATGGCCTTCTCCTGAGAATTCTGGGAAATCTGGGATTTCCTTCTTGGAGGTGGGGGACACTGCTCTCACTACACCACTCCCTGGGAGACATTGCAACTGACAAAGCTGACTTCGTGCAAGACATCCCTGAGGAGATGCCACATGGAGACCACTGCCCACACTGAGATGCTTCCAATGCCACTGGACCCAAGGACTTTCTACCCACTGGCCTGTGATCTTCCACATTTGGCGTCACGTTTCGTGAGTCTGAAGAGGATTTTATAGATTGGTATCGGACATATGGGCTAATATCAGACTTATGGACTTGATCTGGACTGGGCTGTTTTCTCGGTGTTCAATTGCTCTTGTATATAAATCTCTTTCTCATACACGTGTGCCCATGGATTTGTCTCTCTAGCCTACCCAGACGAACACACCATGGCGTGAGTCAGGCCCCTCTTAGTCCTCACAGTGATATCCTTGTTCTTCAGCACTGTTCCTTTCAGGAGTGTTGATCATGGATCCAAGCAAAATTAAATCCCTGACCTGACCAATCTTGTTCCATGTATCATGATGTTATCTATCTGCCAGTTATGAGGATTTTCATATTCTTCAGTTGCAAATCACACTGAAGGCTCGTCCTTGATCTTCATCAGTAAGTGCTTCAATGCTCCTTGTTGTCAGCAAGCAGGCTTGTGTCATATGAACACTGAAGGCTGTTAATAAGCCTTCCTCCAATCCTGATGTCGAGTTCTGCTTCATATAACCCAGCTTCTTGGATTATCTGCTCAGCATACAGATGGAGTAAGTATGCTAAAAGGATCCCTGATACACTCTCTTCCTGATTTTAAACCATGCATTATTCCCTTGTTCTGGTCAAACCACCTTGAGCTATGTTCGTGAGTACAACGAAGTGCTCTTGAATTCCCGTTTTTCTCAATGTGATCTATAGTTTGTGATGATCCATGATCATCCAGTTGAATGCCTTTCTATAGTCCATTGAACACAAGTAAACATCTTTCTACTATTCTGTTTTCAGCTAAGGTCCATCTGATGTCAGCAATCATATCCCGCTTACCACATCCTCTTCTGAATCGAACTTGAATTTCTGGCAGCTCCTGGTAAAACTACTGCTGCAACCGTTCTTGAATGATCATCACCAAATGTTGCTTGCATGTGATGTTTTTATGTAGTTCTTTAATTTCGGCTTTCTGTTGAACCACCTGAATTTGGAATGAGGACAAATGTAACTCTCTTCCAGTCAATTCGCCAGGTCTTCCAACTTTCTTGGCATAAGAGAGTGAATACTTTCAGTTCTTCGTTAACTTGTTGAAACATTTCGATTATTAGTATTTTATCAATTCCTAGAGATATGTTTTATGTCAATGCCTTCACTGCAGTTTGGATTTCTTCCTTCACTACCATTGGTTCTTGATTATATGCTACCTCTTGAACTAGTTTAGCATCGACCAATTGGTATTTTTGCTAGTGACTGTATTGAATCTCTTGATGCTCCTCCCTGCAACATTCCATATTTTGCCCATAAAATCCTGCAGTATGACAACTTGAGATTTGTTTCCCCCCCCTCAATTCTTTCAGCTTAAGGTAAGCTGAGCATGCTCTTTTTGGTTTTCTAACTCCAGATCTTTGTGCATTTTAGATATAACCTCCGTTACGTGTGTGTAGTTATTCAATGCTACTGTGTATATAGTGGACAAACAAGGCCTTATTTCAAACATTTACTCTTTCTAGATGTTTAGAAGTGCACAAAGTATGTTAAAAGTAATAGTAAATAACATTTTGTAGATACCCTTTTGTTAAAATTCATATGAAATGGAATTGCCAAACCACCTCTCTTGAGCAGTATGTTTGTGTTTGCTCATGGAGGAGGGAGAAGTCTACAAGAGACTTTCAATATGTCTCCTCAAGCTTCCCTTTGAAATGTTCTACTCAGCTCTTCGATTTCATCATTTCTTCCATGTGCTTCAGCTACTCTATGATCCAGGGCAAGTTTCAGAGTCTCCTCTGACATCTACTTTGATCTTTTCTTTCTTTTTTTGTGTTTTTAATGACTGTTTGCTTTCTTTCTTTTTTTCTGTTTTTAATGACTGTTTGCTTTCTTCGTATGATGTTCTAGATGTCATCCCAGAGCTGACCAGGTCTTTTGTCATTAGTGTTCAATAATTCATATCTATTCTTGTGATGTCCTTGACATTCAGGTAAGATATAGTGAGAGTTTCTCATGGACTTGTTTTTTTGTTTTTTTAACTTTTATTGAGGGCTCTTACGTCTCTTATCACAATCCATACATTACTCCAGTGTGTCATGCACATTTGCACATATGCCACCATTATCATTTTCAAAGCATTCTCTTCCCACTTGAGACCCTGATATCAGCTTCTATTTCTTCCCCCTCACTCCCCTGGCCACACTCCCTCATGAACCCTTGATAAGTTTTAGATTATTTTTTCCATATCTTACATTGTCCTACATCACCCCTCACCCATTTTTCCATTATTC